CCCCAAAACCCCAAAACCCCAAAACCCCAAAACCCCTCTACTACATATCCAGCTGAGCATAACTTAATTATTAATAAGATATTTTTCTACAAATGGAGGAGTTTGGCAGCGCTAGAAGTGCAGAAGAGGAGAAGGAAGGTAAGTTAGGCTAGGGTAGAGGAGCAAGAGGGATAGGAGGAGGTTAGGGTGTGGTGTGGGGATGGGTGTGGTGGATGGTTTAGTGGGAAGGGGAGAGGGATTGGTAAGTGAGGTTTATGGGGAGGTGGAGTGGAGAGTAGGGGGATTTTTGGTTCAGAGGGGCGAAGAGATGGTTGGAGTCTTTGATTAAGATAGAATGGAATTTATTTGCTAGATGCTTTAGTAATTTTCTATTTTCAGTATTTTTATTAAGATATGAGTCTTGGATCAATAGCAGTATTTATGCCAAATTTGATACTCAATTTGAAGTATCTTATATAAACCCAACACCAAAACTCCATAAAACCTCTATCTCAACCCCTTCTCCCTCTCTTCCCTACCCCTTATCTCCCTCATTCCCCAAAATACCCCTCATCAGACCCTCCTCGAGCCACTTTCCCACTTAAAACCCCTACACCTCTAACCCTTTCCCTTAAAATCCTCTTCCAGTCATTCTTAATCTCTAAATACTTGTTTAATCCTTCCCAAGCTGTGTTTCAGTTGAAGCCTGCTGCTCACAGGCCAGCATCAGCTGAGGGGCTGTAGAGAAAGATCTGGGGTTGGCTGAGAAGGGAGTTTGTGGATGGAGAAAGGGAGTTTGTGGATGGAGAAAGGGAGTTTTTGAGGGTGATTTTTTGTTTATGGATTTCGGATTTTGAGAAAAAGAGGTCTAATTTGTTTCCAAAAAGGGTAATATTAGTATTTTAGAGCTGAGATTTGGCTTAAATAGAGGTAAAAAGGGAAGTAAGAAAGAAGGAGAAAGGAAGACAAAGGTAATTCTAGAGCGTAAGGTATTTAGGTACATGGAGAGGGTAATGGAGAGCATAATAAAGAGCAGGATTTAGATACGAATGGTACCTAAGTTTGGGAAAAACGAAACCAGATTAGGGTAAGTCCTATTCCACACCTAACCTCTTACAGTCTGCCAGTTTCCTCAAACAAGCCCGAAAACACAGGCTTCCTCTATACTGGTATCAATCAATCCTCAAGCATCGAACAAGAAGTGAATAGCGAAGCTGAAGGCGAAACCCAAGCTGAAGGCGAAACCGAAGCAGAAGGCGAGAGTGAAGAAACAGATAGTGAAGAAGTCACTCAAGAAAAATAGTGAAGAAGAGACTGACCAGGAAGAACAAGAAGATGAAGAAGACGTAAAAGAAGACATAGAAGAAGACAAAGAAGAAGATCAGGAAGAAGATATGGCTGAAGATCAGGATGGACAAGTGGATGAAGAAAGAGATAGCCTGATAGATATCTGGGATCCTGAGTTAAAGGATATGAACGAGGATGACAAAAGGTAGAGTTTTAGAGATGGGATTAGTAAATTTTAGGGTTTTGGCTCAAAATTTAGTCCTTTTGATGAGTTTAAACTTACTTATAGCTCCCTCAAACGTCAGAACAAGCGTATTCGTAAAAGTAAGCTTTTTGAAGACTCTACTTGTGCATTCTAATGTTTGGTAGGAGCTCATGATGAATTTTTAAAGCTACAAAGACTTGACCAACAGAAGATTCAGGAAGACTGGGTTCATGTTGGAGATAAAGTCAAGATGAAAGGATTAGATAAAAATGGGTGGAAATACTTTAAGGTTAATGATCGGTGAGTTTTAGGATAATTTTTAAGACGTAAATGGAAACTTGAAGATGAAGAAGATAAGGCAGATACTATCACCATAGACCCAGTGCTTCATAAAACTGATTATACCATTAGTCAGCTGTATAAAACAAGAAGTAAAATTGAGCCAAACTCTGAATGGCGTGAGGTGAGAGGCCCATCAGTTTATGAGTCAGAGCTGAAAAACATTGAAGCAAATTTGGCTTATGTACATCGAAAGAAAGAGCATCCTCTGAGTCTGAATCAAACGTTCATGCTTAGATTTAATGACAAAAATGTTAAGGAATTTAATTTCAAACTAGATGAATCAAATATCCAAGAAAGGGTAAGCAAATGGGTCCTGAAAGGTGTAAGCGAAAGCTATAAAGACATCTCTGTTAAACCTCACAATGGATACTATCTCTGCACAGTGGTGAATAACAAATTTTACTATCTTAAGAAAGGTGAAATAGGGATTCTGAGTAAGCTATGAGCATAACCCCTAGCTGATGTTAAGGATAAGGCAGTCAAAATTGAGATGTGTAAGGTTGAAGAGTTATCAGTTTAGATCTGTGTGAGAAAGAGATCAAAGATCGGATGGATAAAGGTAAGTTGGTGGGGCTAGGTGGGGATAGGGATGAATGAGGTTGGGTGAAGAGGGGATTTTTGGGGTATTTAGGAGGGATTAAGATATTTTGGATGTATTTTGTGAGGTTTGGCTTTTTTATGTAATTTTAGGTAAAAATTAGCTTGTTTTCTTCAGCTTTTAACTAATATCTTTAGCTCAAAGAAGAATAAGCTCTAATAATTATTATTGCTTATTTGATTATCAATCCCAGTATCTCAACTTGCTCCAGTATTATTCAGATAAAGATAGAATAAACTCAGATGAGCTTAATGGAATGATTAGTACTAAGTACACATCATTTACGAATATACAACCTCACAATTATTTTGTGGTAACACATTTACCTAACCAAGGAATGATCTACTTTTGGACAGTTCTCAAATATTTTGATCAACTCCACGATGAATCATCTCGCAAATACTTAGCATATGAAAATGGAGCTTTAACTCTTGTTAATCATCACTATGCTTTCGAAATTGAAAAAGTTGAGATAGGGGAAGGCATATTAACTAACCAACAATTTTTAATCAAAATTCAAAGCACGAGCAAGTATTTGAGAAGTATATATTCTACTCACAATGGAGTTAATAACATTGTGGTATCTGACTTTGAGGCTCCAAAATCTAAGGAGTTTTATTTTCATCTGAGGCAAATGAAGTTTACTGATTTATCACTAAACGAGATAACAAGTATTGATGAAAATCTAATAAATGCTCAAGAGAAGTTATCTAAATTAGATGATCAAGATGCTGAGAATATGGATATCAACATTCTACAAAATATCTATAGAGAAGCAAAGATCTCCCTCCATCATGCCTTGTATTTATTTAAGAATCGAGAGTTAAACAAGAATAGAGAAAAATCTGAAGATAGAATGTGATTGAAAGGTAAGCACAGCAATTCCTGAGAAAGCTTAAAGACAATTTATGCTAAATAGGACTAAAGGTGTATCATTTAGTGCTTCAATGGAAAATTTAGAATATTTAATGCCTCTATATAAAGTGTAACCTCCAAACAATAGGGAAATAATCTTGAATTGTCTCTTAGAAGCAGATGGTTCTGATCCTCATTGCTATGCTCTCTATCAAAATTACTATAATGCTCGTACACTCCCATAACACTTAAATGGTTTTAACATATGTTGTTTAGGTTACTTTAACAAAGACCAGATGGCTCTAAACAGCTGTTCATTAGATTATGAACAATATCTCGGATGATTCAAGAAAATCAGGATGGATGCAATAGATGGCAAATATAGATGGGATCTGGCTGGTAAGCACTCACTTAAGGCTATCTTTGATATAGAATCACAAGCCATTGATAATTCTTCATATTACTATACTTCACAATGTGAGTACTTGCTAGCTCTAGGCTGATACAAATCTATCCAAAATCCTACTTATGCTCTGAGGCTTGCTGTAAACGTAATTACTGATGAAGATGAATGTGTTGAGAATGAAAACGATTACAGGTATGGACAAATATGATCTATAGAGGAATAATGATGCTTCAGAAAATAGTCGTAAATGCATATAAAATGGAAAATAGACAAACTAAATGTAGGACTTGGGTTTTAGGCTTGGGCTTAAAGCAAGACATTCAAAATTTTATTAATTTGATAAAGTTTTAACAACATTTTACAATGGATAAGTTAAATTTAGAGACTTTTTAGCTCATAAACAAATTTGGGACTCAAATGAACAAATTTAATGAACTATAATTTAAAACATCAGTTAGAATTCTATTAGATAATGCAAACCTCTTCAAAATATAACCCATTCTGGCCAAATTAAATCTGCCTTATGTTTGCAATCAACTCTAACACTTTATTTAGTAATAAATCAGAAAATATATGAGGAAAAGTGCTTTGTACCTTTTATCCTCAAAGAAGTGAACGACGGCTGGGATAGATGTAATCTTAGTATTTTGTTAGGCCTTACTACAAATACCTATAAAGACGAGAGCTGTGATTGGAGCTGTGGAATACTGAATTATGGTGTCATCGATTATATTTCGAAGAAACTAAAAGACGAAGTGAGCAAAATGGCAGATCCAAATCTAAATGATATTGGAAGGAGAATCCTGACCTATACAGAGCAACATCTTGAAGATGAAAATTTCAATTTAGCTATGTTCTACGACGGTAGAAAGCAGGCAAATCTAATGATTCTCAACCAGAACGATACTTTCAGAGACTTTATGAAGGCAATGCTGTTCAGTTACAGCATCAAGATTGGATTGCAAGATGATATTAATTTTATAACATACTGGAACAATTGCATCAAGAAATTCTGTGAGAGTCGAAATATCAATTCTTACATCTCTGGATTTCTGCTGAGACTTTCAAAGAATATCAATATTCCAGCAAACTATTTGGAAACTCCATCTAAAGATCAAAAGAGATCAATGGGAACTATCTTTGACTCAAGCTTAAATTTTCTCTGTATGCTTAAGAACAATAATCAAGTTGAGAACAAGTTTTTGGAATGAGAAGTGCTAGACTGAGTCATTGAAATGCTACAGAACCTTTCATATGATGAAATAATTTTATCTAAACTGAAAAAGAATGCTAATTTAAGGTCTATTATCCAACTTTCATATTGCATCTCTGATATGTTCTTTGTGGCAAGACCTCATGCTTTTGATTCGATCAAATATACTAAACTTTATGATGAGAATTTGATCAAGGCAAATGAAGCTGCTGTGGAAGACAATTTTCATGAAGTAGACGTTGTGCTAGAGTCCTACCAAAGAGAAATGGTCATGAAAAGATGAAAAATCTTCAATATTATTTGTGAGAAAAAGAAGCATAACAATCAAGATCATAAAGGGGTGGATAAACTTCCTTATATCTTCGAACTCCTTGGAGATTCTGCTATATCTTCGAAGGAATTCTCTCAAGCACTACAACAGGTGATCATTAAATGGGTAAATTTTGAAGATGAACCTGAGACTTCAAGTGAAATTTTTGATACTCTTCTTCAATTTGATGGAAAACCCCTTGAAAATTTTGAAGTAGTTGGGGAACAAGATGAGTTTGAAGGAGACTTTGCTGATTTATGACAACAAGCTCTTCCATTCTTCACATACCTAGAAGGAAGAGATGAGCCAAGCGTATTATCTCTCAAAAGAAACATTGTCGACATCAGTAAGAATCTGGCTGAAGCCCGTAACTCTGCATGGTATAATAGGAATAATTTCCAGATTCATGTTTCTAAGATCTATAACTTGATCTCATTACTTGTGAAGATTAATGGTATTATGCAGTTAGGAGAGGAACCTAAAGAAAAATTTGTTGAAACTGCTCATGAGTTTATTTTCACTTGATACGAATGCTTGATTGAGGCGGTCCAGCATCCGAAGATGAGAGAGCATGTGTGGAATTGCAATGGATACTTCTTTGCTCTTCGCTGGGAGAACGAGAATTGTAATAATTGCCATAGCGAGTTAGTGAGGGAGATTTTGTCATTAAGTAAGGCAGAGAGGCTGAACCTAGACTCAATAGATTGATTTAAGAATGCTTTATCCAAAATTGGGTACCTTTTTGATTGGATTCAAGAATCAATATTTGAAGTAAATGATTTGAAGATGAGATATCTGTCTGGTATAGAGAGAAGTATTTTGGTCACAGATGATTATTTTATTAAAGAATTCATATGGCTAAATATAGAAAATCATCCAGAACCTGAGTATCCTGACCATGGAAATAATTTGAAGGATCAGCCAGTTTTAAACCAAAAATTGGGTAATGAAAATAATGAAATGTATAATTCAGAAATTGAACCAAACATTAAAAAATCGAGATTTATCTATAATTTGATAAAGTTTGTTAACCAGAGCAAAATTCTAGAAGAGCAAGGATCAGAAATATCCACTAGAAAATTTCAGCTGCTGATTAACAAACTCCTAACCACGATAACAAAAATTGATCCAACATCTGATACTAGCAAATACATGCTACATTGTTTGGAGCTGATCTATGAGGTGCTTCAAAATGACAAAATTGCACATAATCCAGAGATAAAATACTTATTTTACACAGAGCATGCTACTAATGCTCTCTATTCACTTATTACAAAGAAGTACAACTACACTAAAAATATCCAAAAGATTCGACATCTTACCTATTTCATTCTCATAAAATTGTTCAAGGTAGATGTCTCAGAGGCAAGAAAGAGTTTCAGATCCTGGACCCACTTCAATGATAACAAGAATGGATTCTTTGGCAGAATTTTGAGATTAATCAACCTATTTAAGACATTCTTCTTGGATGACAGATGAACTTATATTATCAGCACTGGTATCCATCACACTGACTTTAAGGAACTCCTTTTGGCTCTGAAATGGCTAACAATACTATGCCAAAATGATCGGAACTGGCAGGAATATCTCCGAGAGCAAGATAATTCAGTGAAAAACCAGAATATCTTACTTGAGATTATTGAGTTAACTAGAGCCAGTGTTCTCAGACCCAATAATGAGTTTGCAGTCGACCTTCTCAGAGCAATCACAAAGCTAATGTCAGCAACTGTGAATGGCAAAAATGAAGATATCATTGAACTATATTCCAATACAACTGTGATGGGATACTTAGTAGAGATTCTAAGAGCAGGCTTCTCTCTGAATGAACTTCAATATATCAAAAGAGCAAGAAAAGATACTACCTTTATGGTAGGAAGGAATCAACAGATAAATGATCTTAAAGAGGTTTATGATAAAAATAGAAAACGAAACTTACTAAAACAAGAAGTCTTATGACTCATCAATTCATTAATTCTTGAAAATACAAGTCATGAAATTCAGACTCCTGAGAATTATGAGGTTTTGAATAACCTGATGATCTTGAATTATGTCCAGTTCAGGATTTATAAAGATAGGAGCTATACTTTAGAGCCATTCAGACCAGATTCCTCATTATCAAAGGTGTATAATATCAACCTTGGATTCCAGTGTTACTATCTCATCGCTAAGCTCTGGAATAATAATGGCCAACCGAATTACAATTGAGTCCAAATTAGTGACACTGAAGGTTTACTTTCTAAATATTGGAGGCTGGTGAAGGAGACTGATTTAAAATGCTGCACTCATGTTGCAAAATATAAGCCAATTTCTGAGAACCAATACAAGAATTTTAATACCAATGGTAAACTGGTTGCCCAAGCTACTAACTTCTTCGATAGCTACAGCTCAAGGATTGAGATTGTCATGCCAAATGGAAAGTTAGAACCCAGATCTTTCGAAATATTGCCTTGCTTCTTGTCCTTCACTCAGACCGAGAAAGATAGATTCTGGCTAGAGGCAAATCTGGATGATAGTAAAACAGCAGTCAGCTCTTTTATGCATTTTGCTCATGACAAAGTTGAAGAGCTGTTCATTCAACAAGAAGTTCAAAACAAGTGGTTCTGTCTTCGAGAGGTTGCAAAGAAGAACAATTGGCTTGCTGATTTAGGAAAAGTGCTAGTACTATTGATCAACTTAATTTTATTCTTTTCACTAGAAATGAATGATGGTGAAATATTGAACAATCCAAGCCTGTTTGGGTTGAGTTATACTGAAACTAAGAAAATCTTGATCACTCTTGGAAGCTTTACCCTTGTATTCTTCCTGTACATGTCAATAATTCAGGGTATTATCATGATGAGAATACAGAAAATCAAGGCGCTCAAAAGGATGGATCATAACAAGGTTAAAGGAGCTTGTAGAAAAGTAGTCAGAGTGATCTCATACATACTTGACAACAAGGAGAAGACTATCCAGTCAAGGAACATCTGGTGCCTCCTAATTTGATTATTCTTCTCTATTGCTGGCTTGGCAGCAGAGTATTACTGGTTTTCTTTTACGATGATATATCCGATAATATTCTCGCAGCATATTCTTGATGTAACCAGGGCAGTTTGGAACCCTAAAAAGAGAATTTTCTTCACAGTTATCCTAAGTGCTATTGTTCTCTACTGGTTCGGAATGATCGCATATGTCCACTTTGGGAATGACTTGGATGATGTCATTGAAGGTTCGCATCTTTCACTCCAGAAAACTATGGCTGTGATCTTTGATTTGTGGCATAAATTTGGGTTTGGAAATTTTCTTTCAGATAAAGGAATAGGGGCTACTACGTATTTAACAGAGGATATCAATAATAATGAACAGTATATATACCGTTTAAGAGCTGCTAGGCTGTTCTATGATTTTGCATTTTTCTTCATTGTTAACACCTTACTTTTGAGTATTATCAGTGGTATCATTATTGATGATTTTTCTCAGAGAAGAATGAAAAGCGATACCATTAAGCAGAGACAAAATGATCTATGTTTTATTTGTGGAAGATTGTCAAGAGAAATTCAGAAGTTTGAGCACCACTGTAAATTTGTTCACAATATTTGGGATTACATGTATTACATGGGCTATCTAAAAGAAATGAAGGAAGACCAGATAGTTGACTCTAGAGATATCCATGCTTATAAGTGCATTCAAAACAATGATAATAACTGGTTACCTGCATATAGAGATTTTGTCAGAAAGGCAGCAAAGAAGCAAAAGCCCAAAGATATGCAAGGAGAAGTCATTCAGGATCATTCTGACAAAAGCTTATCTCAACAAGCAGACTCTTCTAGTCCCGATTCAGATGATGAAGATGGAAATACTGATTACCAAAGGATCCTCAGAATCTTAGAGGCAAAAATGAATGCTCAAAATGATGATATCACCTCAAAAATCAACGGAATCAATGAAAGATTAGACTCAATGACTATAATGATGGAGAGATACTTCTCCAGGGTGTCTTCTGAATAATATTGTCTCATTCGCACAAAATACGAGCTATATTTCTTCGCTTCCTTGTCTTTAGCCTTTTGGCAACATTTTATTAGAATTTTTAATTGGAATGTTTCTGAATATTTTTATTATTAATATCTCAAGAGAATATTGATACCCCGGGGTTTTGGGGTTTTGGGGTTTTGGGG